AAAATAATTTTATGGTTGGGGGTCACCACAACATGAGGAACTGTATTAAGGGGTTGCGGCATGAGGAAGGTTGAGAACCGCTGCTCTAAAAGAAATAATCAAATAAACAAAACACGACCCAGCGTTTTTTGCTTTGCCCCTGTCCTATAGGGAAACCTAAAGGGTTACACTGGTTGTTTCACAAATGGGTCCAATTCTCACCATTGTAGAAGAAAATGTGTGTTGTTGTGTTAGTCCCAAATTTAACACAAGGTTCAGAGAGCACTTCACATAGGCCTGTATTTTTAACTAAGCATAGAGCTCTTGCTCTGGGAGACATTGCGAATTTCAAAATAGTTTGTTATCTAAAAATACACTTCCTGAAATGAACTTGAGGCCTGAGTGGGATGAATGGGTGTATTTTTTCTTCTATATTTAATGTTACCACAAGAAAGCAAATCTTGACTTTATATATGTTTATATTTTTAGAGACCCAGGAAACAGGTGCTATGCCTAAATGACAAAGACGGTTGCATGGCATAGTGTGAATGACAGAAATCTAAAATTCACGGACAGGGAGCCACTGTGGGAGGGCGTTGACACTGTTCTTCTGGCTTCAGGCAAGAGCATTCTTAACACCGGGAGGAGCAGAGGCGGCTGTGCTCAGGCCTGTCCAAGCACGATCCCTGGGAGAAGCACACCTCCCAGCTTCCTGATGGCCAAGGCCTAGTCTCGTGCCACACGTGGTCTAGATGCTTAATCATTCTTAGTCTACCATTTCAGCGTCTCCAAGTTCATGTTTGTTGACCACATGCCTTATAGACTTGTCTCACCTGACTCTCCAATTGCATGCCTTTAATTACCTTCATTGCTAGTGGAAACGGGTCCCCTTGAGGAAAGACATGGGGAAGGAGGTGTTATACCTTTTCTCTATTGTCTCAGCATGTGTTTTGAAAAGAACAAGTCTGTCTTCAATAGATGATTGATGCATTTATATTGCATCAATAAATATTGCATTTATAAGCACATTCCGCACTTGATGTGGGGGAAGAAGTTCTAGGTCCTTTCCCACTGGGTGTAAAGGGCCAAATGCGAGCTTTGCATATTCATTCCTTAATATATTCATCTCTTCACTCATTTATTCAATAAATAGTTTTGGATATCTTCTCTGTGACAGCCCTCTTCTTTGGCACTGGAGACACAGTAGATAAACATGGCAGATACAGTCTCACAGAGCTTGCATTTTGGTGGCTAGGTTATAAGCAAGTAAATGATCCAGTTGACTTGTGCAGAAGATAAAACGAGCCCTGTCCTAGTTACTTGAGGGCTGCTTCAGGATGACGAGCTGACATTTAACCAGAGACCAGAAAGGTGACAAGAAACTAGATAAAGAGGATCGCAAGGGCAAGGCCTGAGGAAGGAGGGAACTCAGCTTCTTCTAGGAAAAGTCCGTGTGTCTAAAAGGTAGCGAGTAAGGAGTAAGAGGGCTGCTGCTGGTGGCGGTGGTGAGGGCTGAGGTCAGAGGTCAGAGAGCTAGCAGGCTGCAGACCCTTGAGGTGGAACTCAGCCTTTACTCCAGCGCGTCCCCAGTGTTTGGGATTATTTCTAGGAGCCACTCAGTCTGTGTTGGCGAATCAACTAATGCCCCTCAAGGCATCTGAGAGAAGTCAGAGCCAGTCCCTCCAGCTCTTTCAAGGCCAGGAACAGCATGGCCATGTCCTGCCGGGCCTGCAGTGTCTCCTCTGAGTTGGCCAACTCCCTTTTGTCCTTCACAACTCTGCTCCGTTGTGACCTCTGTCTGTCCATCTGGGTGGTGACTCTTGTCTGGCTTCCACGTCCTCTGTCTTTCTCTCTATTTTAGGTTATCCCACCCTCATCTGTTTCCTTGTCTATCCACCCAGCTAAACTATAATTTCCCTATGGGTACTTTTCATTGTGCTCCCAGCATCCAGTACAATGCAATGGGCCAATCCAATCTATGTTTCTTGATCGGATGATAAGGTTTCTGGAGAAAGAGTGCCTTCTAAATCACTGACAAAAGCAAGAAGTTATTCAAACTTCCTCCCGCCTTACAATGGCTTTCATTGCAGATTGCATAGGTGCTGGAAATTCTCTGATGTGAAGGCATCGCTTTGCCTTTCTCCGTATTCATTCTTATGACATGAGGTTCATTGGAAATTGCATAACATCATCAGGAATTCATTGGCAGGCTGCCTAGCAGTTAGATAATCACGCAGTGTATCTTTATCTTCCCTCCACAGTTAATAATAACATGATGGTCACTGACAACAATGGTGCAGTCAAGTTTCCACAATTGTGTAAATTTTGTGATGTGAGGTCTTCCACCTGTGACAACCAGAAATCCTGCATGAGCAACTGCAGCATCACGTCCATCTGTGAGAACCCACACGAAGTCTGTGTGGCTGTCTGGTAAGGTTGCTTTTTTAAAAATCTTGCTTCCCCCCTTTTATAAGTAATGCATGCTCATGGTACATGGAGTCCACATGTCTCCGTGCCCTGAGAGTAGGCACCATCCCATTTCCCCTTCTCATAGACAGTCTCTCTTCTAATCATTAAATGCCTTTTCCAGAGATAGTCTGTACATTTTCAAATACATCCACACAAGTATCTATAGGTGTGTATATGTGTGAGACCATATATAAGATGACCTTTATATTTGCAATACATCTGGAGACGCTTCCTTGTATGAAGGAGAGGAATATGACACTAGGCATTTCATGACACCCCCTCAGTACCCTATAGTGACACCAGGAGTCTTGTTCCTCTGAGACGATCTCTGTCTTATTTTATGGAAGGAAAAAAAGCTGAACGTTGGGCTGTTGGAAGAGGAAAGCACTTGTCAAAAAAGGGAAGCTATTTGGGGAACCAGAAAACAAGCAATTCCTTAGAAGCTCTGGCCATGTCACCCATACCACCACTGGGCGACATGCTACATTTTTCTCTTAGATCAGATTCCCTGCTCTCTCTTTCTCTCTCTCTCTCTCTCTCTCTCTCTCTCTCTCTCTCTCTCTCTCTCTCTCTCTCTCCTCCTTCCCCTCTTTTGTCCCCCCACCCACCCACACACACACAGTAGATGCTCATAAATC